CGCCTGCTTGTATCTTTGTAAGGCCCCAAAACTCCATCAACTCAAATCATATATACCAATCCCTCGGTATAGCTATCCCAAGGCAATCCTTCGGATGTCTCTTGCAAACGTAATTCAGTACAAAAGACAGGCACAAACCCAGTTGTTGATTGCAAAGACTATAACCCATCAAGGCCACAATAAGCTCCCAAAGTTCCTCAACCGTTATAGTGGATTTTCTGATTTTGGGAATTCTGAGCCTGAGACTGTTGTTGCGAAGCCTGAATGTTAAGCGGCTGTGTGTTGTAGTGAGCAAAAGGTTGGGAGTAGAGAGAATTCATCTGTACAAAGAACCAACAGAATTTACCGGGGGAAAAACTATGGAGTTGAGTAAATCAAACGGGAAAGACAAATAGCTAAACAATCAGTCTCTCAAATTTCGTAATTACATCTCTTGTAATAGTAAGGTTAGAACTCTAAAAAAACCTGGGACTGAAGAGGGTTGGCATTAGCCACACCGAAATGGCTTTGAGTTGAATCATCTTGCAACGGGTCATTGAATCCCACCTGAGTAAAAAGACCTTGAGAACCATGTCCCATGTAGTCCTATGAATCAAAAGAAAGGAAAATCAGAAAAGGTAGGACAAAGCAACACATAGAGGAGGTGGATGCTCATTACTAGAATCTTCAACAACCTGGGACATAAAGTCGTTTCCAGAACCAAAACGAGAATAGCCAGCTTGAGAATTCTGGTTAAGAAAATTCCCAGGGAATCCACCTTGTGCTCCTTGTGTGGAAAAATCAACAGCATATCCACTTTGAGAAGCCTTAAGGTGGTCAAAGTGTCAGTAGAAAAACAACAAATGAACATGAACATCTAACTGATAGGATGCAATCAATGAGAAGGACAAAAGCCCTGCACCCAGTTTTGCTGACTGATAAAGCAAATTTAATTCTAGAAAACAAAAATATTATCAGCAGTTCACAAACCTGAGTAGAGAAATCAGTGACATTGTAAGGAACATGAGATCCCTGGCTTTTGAAGTCATCGCCCAAAAAGTCCTGATTTAAACCAAAATACACAAAAATGATCCAATTTTACATTGAAACAATATCAAGCTTTTACCAAGACACAACAATAAATACCTGGGACATTCCAGGCATAGAAAATTGGTCTCGAAATGACTGGCCAGCCCCTTGAACTGGCATCTAATATCAAACAGAAAAAAGTCATAACACAGATAAAAAATAAGACATGAGGATAGAACATATTAAGCTAGCATGATGATGAAGTACGTACATTGTTTGCAAACCCAGGTTGAGATAAAGGACCACCAACAGATGGCTGGCTGTTAGGATTCTCTAGAGTAGGGAAGTTAAAGGTAGATCCAATATTCCCAATCGGCTGTTGGGTGCCTTGTTGGTGTGGAAGATGATTGCCAATTGGAGCACCAGAATTACCTCTACCAGCCCCAAATCCTCGACTCCCAGGAGATGGAACATGAGGAACTGCCCCAACAGGTCCATGAACGGCCCCACGTGAAGGAATGGCATATGGTTGAGATTGTGGACCACCATGGAAGGGAGGCAAGGGAACTCTTGGCACAGGATATCCAGCAGGATGCACTCCAGGCTTTTGAGTTCCATTTGGTGGACCAGGAGGTATATAAGATCCTACAGTTGCAGAAAATTGTTGTCATACAATCTAAATTAAAATATCAAAAACCTCCATGAGGCATGTATAGGAAATGATAAAATTAAAAAATATAACTTGATTGGGACATAAAGATTACAAGACCACAAGGTTGACCTAAAAGTGTATTTGGAAAAGACAAAGACCCTACTATCCAACAAAACAATACATACCCCTTCCTCGACTACTCCGACGATCTGAACTTGTTCCAGCTCCAGCAGAACCAAAATTATCATTAGCAGCAATTCCAGGTCCACCTCCGTAAAAAAGCCTTCGCTCATTATAAATCTGAATCAAAATAAACAACAAAGATATGTAACCATCTCAATAAGCAAATACCTCACCAGAAAGCACCCCAGCTGAATGCATTAACAGACCCTTGCTAAGTGCAAAAGCAAATAAATCAACACCATACCATCCTTGAGCACCTACCTTCTTGGGTTTCTGAAACTGAACCATACTCTGCTTCAAATTATTTAAAGGCCCTTCAACTAAGCACTCGTGTTCCTGTATAGACAAAAAGGAAGAAAGTGCAACTTATTTAGAAAAGTTAAAAAACTATTAGGAGATCAACGTGAAATAACTTATGAGAAAACTCTTTTATCAGAATTCTACAATTAGCACAAATATTTCAAATTTAGTTCAAACGTCTGCTATGTCCCACAAAACTTTTAAAGAAAGTAATAAAATCACAAAACAAAATAACTACCTTGTAGTGAGTCAATAAACTATTCCACAGAGGCTGCTTGCTCAAAACTTTAGGGTTACCCAAAATAACAATACCATATCTTGCACGAGTCAAGGCAACATTAAGCCTCCTGGGATCATTCAGGAACCCAATGCCCTACAGAAAAACGTATAGAAGTCAAATCAATCATTCTAAATAAAGGCACAAAATGAAGATATTTGAATCATGAAAACTTTGAAAGGCAACAAACAAAGGATAAGTTCAACTACCTGATGTTCATTACTTCTAACACAAGAAAGAATTATGTAATCTTTTTCCCTTCCTTGAAAAGAATCAACACTAGCAACCTGAAAAGAACAAAACATATGTAGCAACTGCAACAAGAACAGAGATTGATCACAGAAATAAAGAGATCTGTCTAAAACCTCAATCTCCTTGTAAAGCTGCTGCCTGAGAGCACCATTTCTTGACATATAGTTCACAATATAAGCTCTTTGTCCTTCATAAGGTGTTATCACACCAATCTGTCAAACGTTTTAAAAGAATATTAATATAATATGAATTTTAACAGTGTTAGTGTAAACCCGTCTGCTTAATTTCCAGTACAAAAGATACCTGACTTGGAACCACACCACTTTTTAAGAAAGTAGTTACAATCTTTTCAACATTTGCAGCCTCAGTCCTATTTAAATAAGATGTTCCACTAGCACTTATCTCTTCTTGTCCCATCTACAAAACAGGTAGATCCGTTTCGGCATGAATAAGGGAAAAATGACAAACACAAAACAAAACAGCAAAAAATGATAAGATGTTGTGGATTATGATAGGAATATTTCGGCATTAACAAAAGAAAATATAAACACACACAATACATGTCTTAACAGTACCTGAACATAGAAAAACATAGGACGGTTTGGAACTGGCCATGGAAAATCGATTCCTGATGATTGCCTTTCATTAACAGTGACTCCATTCTGCAGGGTGCCTTCATAGAAGCTGTTTGAGGGAAATTCTGAAAGACATGGATGCATTCGGTACTGAACCTGGTGTTTGAGATAATAAAACAAAAAATTCAGTTAGTATAGTAAAAAAAATTAGAAAAATAAGCCAAACTAAACAAATTCAGCATGGAACGTTACAGGCTCTTATAAAACCAATGAACAATACCTAAAAGGTTCTTTACCTGCAACCTAATTGGCTTAACACCAAGTAGAACAAGTCTCTCAAAAAGTGACTGAGCTAATCCAGCACGAGCTGCTTTCTTGCACATAATAACTGGACCAAGCTGACAATGATCACCAACAAGAACAACCTAAACAAAAACAACTTGTTAAGAAATCGGCAAACAAAGGGCACACAACTGCGCGTGCATATTTAACAAAATACCTGCTTTGCTCCTAGGACCAAAGGTATGAGGCACTCAGGTTCAGTTGCTTGAGTAGACTCATCAATAAGCACCTGCAGAAAAAAAATAGAAATGATATTAATGACTAATAGTGTAAAAAGTGATTGATAATGAAATTTATACATTGCAAGGATTTGTTTGTCAACCTGACGGAACCTAAAATTTGCTAGTCGAGGATCTCCAGCACCAACACATGTACAGCAGATCACATCTGCACTCTGAGAAATCTCCCTCTCAGTTGCTCGCTTAAGAGCTTTGTACTTTTTCTCATCACTGCTGGAAAGTTCACCTGGTGTGATCAATTAAAACATAGCATTGTTAGTAACAAACAATGGGGACATTGAAAGACAGAAAACACACTATTTTTAAATAATCCTCTGCGGATGTAAAACTTGCAAATAGATTGATTACAGTTCTCAATCCTAGATATTAAAAATGCAAAAACTACAAGTATGGGCAGGAAGTGGTTCACACAAGCTAGATAAGGGAAAAAACCAAAATCCACATTTGGATAAATCAGGATGAACAAATGTTAACGATATTAGACCATAACATAGTTTTAAAAAGGCACACATACCTTGCTCATCCTTCAGTTGTTGCAACTTATGAAGTTCACTCTTGTCAGACGTGTCAAGATGTCGAACCTACAATTACAAGAGACACCATTAACATTCACATGCATCATGCAGTGATTCAATATTTAGAATGCATTACGCAATAAGTATACTTCATGTGGCCATGATATGAAAAGAATATTAGTGGAAGGCACTAACCTGATAGTGGAGAGTTAAATGCTCAACAGGGGAACTGACAGCTTCCCTTGATTTTGCGCAAAGCCTCACAACCTTGAATGTAAGATTTGCATTAGACAAGACCTTCACTTTTTTCATATATAACACAACTAAAATTGACTATACCTTTAATCCAGTAGCACTTATCTTTTCAGCTAACTGGTCCACAGCTACATTACTGGGTGCACAAACCAAAACCTGAAAAATAAGTTCAGGGGATGACAATAAATGAATAGAAACACTGCAGAAAAACAAATGGTATCTAGGATGCATTTAAGAATATACCTGTCCCTGACCTTGCTTGGCCATGTGATATACAAGTGCTGCAGAAGTTACAGTCTTACCAGTTCCAGGTGGTCCTTGAATCAAACTTATAGGCCTCTGAAGAACACTCTTGACAGCAAAAACCTACAAACATTGATGATCAGTGTACAATTTTTACGATTTTACAACACAAAAATATATGGTAAGCAGACAAGACCTTTCACCAGTTTTATTCAGGTTCTTTAATACTTCAAAATTAATAAGCTATGCACTAACAATATTGTTCCCAAAAATAAAAGTAACAAATTGTTACTATGCATACATCAGAATATTACAAAAGAAATATAATGGTCAAAATACACTTTCCAAAACATTGTTGAAATTCAATGCTGACACAGTAGTAAATTAGTTGCATTATACGTTTATTTTCCTTTTATTTAAAGTATTGTTTGCTCTCGAACAATCAAGGGCAAGCATTTATTACAATCCGTCACACAAATGTTCCCACCCAACTCCTACAGCATAACCTAAAGCAGCAACTAATCTGCCAACAGCTATGTAGAGAGACAATATGTGCTTAGGCATGTAAAAGGGTTAGTGTACCCCACAAGTACATTATTATATATGTGTATTTTTTACTGAGCCAGAACAAAAGGGACTGTTATCAAACATATTAGAAAGAATCAGGTAATACAGGTGCAACATATCTGAAGAAACAACATACTTGAGATGCATTCAGCTCAGGAAGGCCAGGTGCACCAAAGCGACGAGGTAAAGCATTTCGGACCATCTGAACCTCAACTTCATGACCCAGTAAGTGATGATAAATATACCTACATAATAATTAGAAATTGTAAAAAAAAGTCAAATAAATAATCATAATCAATTAGTTAAAAGTTAAACAAACAAAAATCCTGGTAAAATTTACAGTTTGTTAGGAATGGTGACAGGATCGAAAAGAAGTGAGAAAGACCTTTACAACTCTATTATAAAGAAAGGTAAAATTGGGTTAAATTGCAATTAGTTGTAATTCCGTAGTTATTATGGAGTTTGGCTTAATAATTAGGTCTCTGTTGTGGTGGGTTTTTTTACGAATGTCACTCAACTTTCTCATTTATACTTGACGTGTGACTTTCATCTTATACTTAAATTCCTAACAATCTTCTCGTGTGTGAGTTGGATTTTACAGTGAGTTTCTACCACAACAGGACCATATTTTTCACACCCATTTATCACAACACACTTCCCTTGACCCTAACTACTATATATGTTGCCTCTATATAAAGTCGAGATAAACTATTGATTCTAATATCAAATGAAGAAGTTGACTTTAAACTTAACCAAATCCTACAAAATCAGTTTGTAAGGTAATGTTTGCATTCACTTATATAGTGAAAATTGTCCTTAACTCTGATGTGGGATCTACAAAAGGAAAAGGTACAAGGCATCAAATATAATCAAGGGCAAACTTACCCACTAACACTTGTCTCATCCACAGCAAAGGTTTTCATAGCTCCCTGCATCCTATCAAAGCTTGTACTTTTCCAGACAAAATCAACACTGAACCCATGGTTAACATCAACAGGAACACCCTGATAACAATAAGAGGAATAAACACAAACGAAAAATAAAAATCATAAAAGCAAGATACAAGTATCACAAAGTAATGCTAAATTCACCTGACTAGCACGGAGCTCCAATGCAACCTCCTCTTGTGCAGTTAGCTTAATCTGAAAAATAGAACATGAAGCATCTTACACATCACATTATCGAAATATTTAAAGAAATAGCCAACACTAACAAGAGAAAAATAGAACAAATAACATACAAAAATCAACACTGCTTCCTTTACTTCTCGATAAGAAGCAATGTGTTTTTGGGCATTGATCAAAATATAATTGGATATGATAGGAGCATAGTAGAGAGACAAGTATGGACAGGTTTAATTATTTGAAAATAATTTTCTTTATTATATTTATCAGCCCATTTCTTCAAGTATTTTTTTACCTTACGTACATTAACAGTTTTAATGATAGCATAAAGAAAAAATGTGAAGACTAAAACAACTAGAGTCGTTTTTCAAAAACTACGGATAGAGAGGAAAAAAATTCATTCATACCACATGACCCACTGACTGCCATGCAGGATGAGCAGCATCACCAGAATAACGGAGTCGTAACTCATCACCAGGTACAAGCCGCAACTCATTATCCTCCTACAATATATGGTTTATCATCACATAAAGGGTATAAATGCAAAGGACACTTAGAATACAAACTATGAAAAGAACATAAGACTGGATGACATATACAACGTACATCAATAGCAATACATTGGAGACTAAGCAAAAGATATACCTTTGGAAATACAAAATAGGCAACACGCTTCTTATTAAGACCAATATCCCATCGAATGGTGACATTGTCCTTACTTTGTGATTCTTTCATCATCTACAGCAACATAGATTCAGAAAAAAAAAACATTACACAAGATGTGAGGAAAACATAAAGCAATCAGAAATTTTTCTGCCTAGAGAAGTTCCAAAAGTACACAGAAGAAAAAAAGGCAAAGGAATATATGGAATGTCTTGCAACGGNGTGCATATTTAACAAAATACCTGCTTTGCTCCTAGGACCAAAGGTATGAGGCACTCAGGTTCAGTTGCTTGAGTAGACTCATCAATAAGCACCTGCAGAAAAAAAATAGAAATGATATTAATGACTAATAGTGTAAAAAGTGATTGATAATGAAATTTATACATTGCAAGGATTTGTTTGTCAACCTGACGGAACCTAAAATTTGCTAGTCGAGGATCTCCAGCACCAACACATGTACAGCAGATCACATCTGCACTCTGAGAAATCTCCCTCTCAGTTGCTCGCTTAAGAGCTTTGTACTTTTTCTCATCACTGCTGGAAAGTTCACCTGGTGTGATCAATTAAAACATAGCATTGTTAGTAACAAACAATGGGGACATTGAAAGACAGAAAACACACTATTTTTAAATAATCCTCTGCGGATGTAAAACTTGCAAATAGATTGATTACAGTTCTCAATCCTAGATATTAAAAATGCAAAAACTACAAGTATGGGCAGGAAGTGGTTCACACAAGCTAGATAAGGGAAAAAACCAAAATCCACATTTGGATAAATCAGGATGAACAAATGTTAACGATATTAGACCATAACATAGTTTTAAAAAGGCACACATACCTTGCTCATCCTTCAGTTGTTGCAACTTATGAAGTTCACTCTTGTCAGACGTGTCAAGATGTCGAACCTACAATTACAAGAGACACCATTAACATTCACATGCATCATGCAGTGATTCAATATTTAGAATGCATTATGCAATAAGTATACTTCATGTGGCCATGATATGAAAAGAATATTAGTGGAAGGCACTAACCTGATAGTGGAGAGTTAAATGCTCAACAGGGGAACTGACAGCTTCCCTTGATTTTGCGCAAAGCCTCACAACCTTGAATGTAAGATTTGCATTAGACAAGACCTTCACTTTTTTCATATATAACACAACTAAAATTGACTATACCTTTAATCCAGTAGCACTTATCTTTTCAGCTAACTGGTCCACAGCTACATTACTGGGTGCACAAACCAAAACCTGAAAAATAAGTTCAGGGGATGACAATAAATGAATAGAAACACTGCAGAAAAACAAATGGTATCTAGGATGCATTTAAGAATATACCTGTCCCTGACCTTGCTTGGCCATGTGATATACAAGTGCTGCAGAAGTTACAGTCTTACCAGTTCCAGGTGGTCCTTGAATCAAACTTATAGGCCTCTGAAGAACACTCTTGACAGCAAAAACCTACAAACATTGATGATCAGTGTACAATTTTTACGATTTTNGTTAAAGGTAGATCCAATATTCCCAATCGGCTGTTGGGTGCCTTGTTGGTGTGGAAGATGATTGCCAATTGGAGCACCAGAATTACCTCTACCAGCCCCAAAACCTCGACTCCCAGGAGATGGAACATGAGGAACTGCCCCAACAGGTCCATGAACGGCCCCACGTGAAGGAATGGCATATGGTTGAGATTGTGGACCACCATGGAAGGGAGGCAAGGGAACTCTTGGCACAGGATATCCAGCAGGATGCACTCCAGGCTTGTGAGTTCCATTTGGTGGACCAGGAGGTATATAAGATCCTACAGTTGCAGAAAATTGTTGTCATACAATCTAAATTAAAATATCAAAAACCTCCATGAGGCATGTATAGGAAATGATAAAATTAAAAAATTTAACTTGATTGGGACATAAAGATTACAAGACCACAAGGTTGACCTAAAAGTGTATTTGGAAAAGACAAAGACCCTACTATCCAACAAAACAATACATACCCCTTCCTCGACTACTCCGACGATCTGAACTTGTTCCAGCTCCAGATCCAACAGAACCAAAATTATCATTAGCTGCAATTCCAGGTCCACCTCCGTAAAAAAGCCTTCGCTCATTATAAATCTGAATCAAAATAAACAACAAAGATATGTAACCATCTCAATAAGCAAATACCTCACCAGAAAGCACCCCAGCTGAATGCATTAACAGACCCTTGCTAAGTGCAAAAGCAAATAAATCAACACCATACCATCCTTGAGCACCTACCTTCTTGGGTTTCTGAAACTGAACCATACTCTGCTTCAAATTATTTAAAGGCCCTTCAACTAAGCACTCGTGTTCCTGTATAGACAAAAAGGAAGAAAGTGCAACTTATTTAGAAAAGTTAAAAAACTATTAGGAGATCAACGTGAAATAACTTATGAGAAAACTCTTTTATCAGAATTCTACAATTAGCACAAATATTTCAAATTTAGTTCAAACGTCTGCTATGTCCCACAAAACTTTTAAAGAAAGTAATAAAATCACAAAACAAAATAACTACCTTGTAGTGAGTCAATAAACTATTCCACAGAGGCTGCTTGCTCAAAACTTTAGGGTTACCCAAAATAACAATTCCATATCTTGCACGAGTCAAGGCAACATTAAGCCTCCTGGGATCATTCAGGAACCCAATGCCCTACAGAAAAACGTATAGAAGTCAAATCAATCATTCTAAATAAAGGCACAAAATGAAGATATTTGAATCATGAAAACTTTGAAAGGCAACAAACAAAGGATAAGTTCAACTACCTGATGTTCATTACTTCTTACACAAGAAAGAATTATGTAATCTTTTTCCCTTCCTTGAAAAGAATCAACACTAGCAACCTGAAAAGAACAAAACATATGTAGCAACTGCAACAAGAACAGAGATTGATCATAGAAATAAAGAGATCTGTCTAAAACCTCAATCTCCTTGTAAAGCTGCTGCCTGAGAGCACCATTTCTTGACATATAGTTCACAATATAAGCTCTTTGTCCTTCATAAGGTGTTATCACACCAATCTGTCAAACGTTTTAAAAGAATATTAATATAATATGAATTTTAACAGTGTTAGTGTAAACCCGTCTGCTTAATTTCCAGTACAAAAGATACCTGACTTGGAACCACACCACTTTTTAAGAAAGTAGTTACAATCTTTTCAACATTTGCAGCCTCAGTCCTATTTAAATAAGATGTTCCACTAGCACTTATCTCTTCTTGTCCCATCTACAAAACAGGTAGATCCGTTTCGGCATGAATAAGGGAAAAATGACAAACACAAAACAAAACAGCAAAAAATGATAAGATGTTGTGGATTATGATAGGAATATTTCGGCATTAACAAAAGAAAATATAAACACACACAATACATGTCTTAACAGTACCTGAACATAGAAAAACATAGGACGGTTTGGAACTGGCCATGGAAAATCGATTCCTGATGATTGCCTTTCATTAACAGTGACTCCATTCTGCAGGGTGCCTTCATAGAAGCTGTTTGAGGGAAATTCTGAAAGACATGGATGCATTCGGTACTGAACCTGGTGTTTGAGATAATAAAACAAAAAATTCAGTTAGTATAGTAAAAAAAATTAGAAAAATAAGCCAAACTAAACAAATTCAGCATGGAACGTTACAGGCTCTTATAAAACCAATGAACAATACCTAAAAGGTTCTTTACCTGCAACCTAATTGGCTTAACACCAAGTAGAACAAGTCTCTCAAAAAGTGACTGAGCTAATCCAGCACGAGCTGCTTTCTTGCACATAATAACTGGACCAAGCTGACAATGATCACCAACAAGAACAACCTAAACAAAAACAACTTGTTAAGAAATCGGCAAACAAAGGGCACACAACTGCGCGTGCATATTTAACAAAATACCTGCTTTGCTCCTAGGACCAAAGGTATGAGGCACTCAGGTTCAGTTGCTTGAGTAGACTCATCAATAAGCACCTGCAGAAAAAAAATAGAAATGATATTAATGACTAATAGTGTAAAAAGTGATTGATAATGAAATTTATACATTGCAAGGATTTGTTTGTCAACCTGACGGAACCTAAAATTTGCTAGTCGAGGATCTCCAGCACCAACACATGTACAGCAGATCACATCTGCACTCTGAGAAATCTCCCTCTCAGTTGCTCGCTTAAGAGCTTTGTACTTTTTCTCATCACTGCTGGAAAGTTCACCTGGTGTGATCAATTAAAACATAGCATTGTTAGTAACAAACAATGGGGACATTGAAAGACAGAAAACACACTATTTTTAAATAATCCTCTGCGGATGTAAAACTTGCAAATAGATTGATTACAGTTCTCAATCCTAGATATTAAAAATGCAAAAACTACAAGTATGGGCAGGAAGTGGTTCACACAAGCTAGATAAGGGAAAAAACCAAAATCCACATTTGGATAAATCAGGATGAACAAATGTTAACGATATTAGACCATAACATAGTTTTAAAAAGGCACACATACCTTGCTCATCCTTCAGTTGTTGCAACTTATGAAGTTCACTCTTGTCAGACGTGTCAAGATGTCGAACCTACAATTACAAGAGACACCATTAACATTCACATGCATCATGCAGTGATTCAATATTTAGAATGCATTACGCAATAAGTATACTTCATGTGGCCATGATATGAAAAGAATATTAGTGGAAGGCACTAACCTGATAGTGGAGAGTTAAATGCTCAACAGGGGAACTGACAGCTTCCCTTGATTTTGCGCAAAGCCTCACAACCTTGAATGTAAGATTTGCATTAGACAAGACCTTCACTTTTTTCATATATAACACAACTAAAATTGACTATACCTTTAATCCAGTAGCACTTATCTTTTCAGCTAACTGGTCCACAGCTACATTACTGGGTGCACAAACCAAAACCTGAAAAATAAGTTCAGGGGATGACAATAAATGAATAGAAACACTGCAGAAAAACAAATGGTATCTAGGATGCATTTAAGAATATACCTGTCCCTGACCTTGCTTGGCCATGTGATATACAAGTGCTGCAGAAGTTACAGTCTTACCAGTTCCAGGTGGTCCTTGAATCAAACTTATAGGCCTCTGAAGAACACTCTTGACAGCAAAAACCTACAAACATTGATGATCAGTGTACAATTTTTACGATTTTACAACACAAAAATATATGGTAAGCAGACAAGACCTTTCACCAGTTTTATTCAGGTTCTTTAATACTTCAAAATTAATAAGCTATGCACTAACAATATTGTTCCCAAAAATAAAAGTAACAAATTGTTACTATGCATACATCAGAATATTACAAAAGAAATATAATGGTCAAAATACACTTTCCAAAACATTGTTGAAATTCAATGCTGACACAGTAGTAAATTAGTTGCATTATACGTTTATTTTCCTTTTATTTAAAGTATTGTTTGCTCTCGAACAATCAAGGGCAAGCATTTATTACAATCCGTCACACAAATGTTCCCACCCAACTCCTACAGCATAACCTAAAGCAGCAACTAATCTGCCAACAGCTATGTAGAGAGACAATATGTGCTTAGGCATGTAAAAGGGTTAGTGTACCCCACAAGTACATTATTATATATGTGTATTTTTTACTGAGCCAGAACAAAAGGGACTGTTATCAAACATATTAGAAAGAATCAGGTAATACAGGTGCAACATATCTGAAGAAACAACATACTTGAGATGCATTCAGCTCAGGAAGGCCAGGTGCACCAAAGCGACGAGGTAAAGCATTTCGGACCATCTGAACCTCAACTTCATGACCCAGTAAGTGATGATAAATATACCTACATAATAATTAGAAATTGTAAAAAAAAGTCAAATAAATAATCATAATCAATTAGTTAAAAGTTAAACAAACAAAAATCCTGGTAAAATTTACAGTTTGTTAGGAATGGTGACAGGATCGAAAAGAAGTGAGAAAGACCTTTACAACTCTATTATAAAGAAAGGTAAAATTGGGTTAAATTGCAATTAGTTGTAATTCCGTAGTTATTATGGAGTTTGGCTTAATAATTAGGTCTCTGTTGTGGTGGGTTTTTTTACGAATGTCACTCAACTTTCTCATTTATACTTGACGTGTGACTTTCATCTTATACTTAAATTCCTAACAATCTTCTCGTGTGTGAGTTGGATTTTACAGTGAGTTTCTACCACAACAGGACCATATTTTTCACACCCATTTATCACAACACACTTCCCTTGACCCTAACTACTATATATGTTGCCTCTATATAAAGTCGAGATAAACTATTGATTCTAATATCAAATGAAGAAGTTGACTTTAAACTTAACCAAATCCTACAAAATCAGTTTGTAAGGTAATGTTTGCATTCACTTATATAGTGAAAATTGTCCTTAACTCTGATGTGGGATCTACAAAAGGAAAAGGTACAAGGCATCAAATATAATCAAGGGCAAACTTACCCACTAACACTTGTCTCATCCACAGCAAAGGTTTTCATAGCTCCCTGCATCCTATCAAAGCTTGTACTTTTCCAGACAAAATCAACACTGAACCCATGGTTAACATCAACAGGAACACCCTGATAACAATAAGATGAATAAACACAAACGAAAAATAAAAATCATAAAAGCAAGATACAAGTATCACAAAGTAATGCTAAATTCACCTGACTAGCACGGAGCTCCAATGCAACCTCCTCTTGTGCAGTTAGCTTAATCTGAAAAATAGAACATGAAGCATCTTACACATCACATTATCGAAATATTTAAAGAAATAGCCAACACTAACAAGAGAAAAATAGAACAAATAACATACAAAAATCAACACTGCTTCCTTTACTTCTCTATAAGAAGCAATGTGTTTTTGGGCATTGATCAAAATATAATTGGATATGATAGGAGCATAGTAGAGAGACAAGTATGGACAGGTTTAATTATTTGAAAATAATTTTCTTTATTATATTTATCAGCCCATTTCTTCAAGTATTTTTTTACCTTACGTACATTAACAGTTTTAATGATAGCATAAAGAAAAAATGTGAAGACTAAAACAACTAGAGTCGTTTTTCAAAAACTACGGATAGAGAGGAAAAAAATTCATTCATACCACATGACCCACTGACTGCCATGCAGGATGAGCAGCATCACCAGAATAACGGAGTCGTAACTCATCACCAGGTACAAGCCGCAACTCATTATCCTCCTACAATATATGGTTTATCATCACATAAAGGGTATAAATGCAAAGGACACTTAGAATACAAACTATGAAAAGAACATAAGACTGGATGACATATACAACGTACATCAATAGCAATACATTGGAGACTAAGCAAAAGATATACCTTTGGAAATACAAAATAGGCAACACGCTTCTTATTAAGACCAATATCCCATCGAATGGTGACATTGTCCTTACTTTGTGATTCTTTCATCATCTACAGCAACATAGATTCAGAAAAAAAAAACATTACACAAGATGTGAGGAAAACATAAAGCAATCAGAAATTTTTCTGCCTAGAGAAGTTCCAAAAGTACACAGAAGAAAAAAAGGCAAAGGAATATATGGAATGTCTTGCAACGGAGTAAAGAACAAATATTACCTTGTCATAATCAGCTTCAAGCTTGATAAGAGGTGCAAATACATTTTGATACTAAGACAAATAGACAAAACAAGAAATGAAATAAATAAGACCCAAGTGTATACCATAAAATTTTAAATGTGAAAGTAAAAAAATAACAAGAAATCCTGAATACACACCTGATATGCATCTTCATATTTCAAAGCCACAGACTGAGGTTCATCATCTACACCAGGCTTCTCAAGGTCCTCAAAGGAAGCATCAGGATTTGTCTTCCACAATTCCTCCACCTTATTTATTTGCTGTGCACTTATTTGGCGAGCTCTTAACTGCTCCTGTTCAGATGGGATCTGCGGCAGAAAACAAAATGTATCAAGGATGGATCGAAAAAATATGTATAACATTATATTAATTAACCAAAAAGTAACATAGTAACCTTGACAAGCCACTGCAAGAAACACCTATCATCAATCAAGGGACAC